GCGCCCGTCATCTGACTTAGAAGTGGATAGAAATGGAGCTTAAGAAGTGAAATGTCAGTATGGTGCATCTTAAGACCCCTTGTAATGCTCCATTGCCTAATCTAGACCTTCAGCCTCTGCCCTGCCTTAATCAACGGACTAATGATGCGAGTCTCTGTCGGTCTGCCTTGTTCATTCTGTTGTACATTTCAGGGAAAATGAGACTACAAACAAAAACCTCTTCACAAGCTTTCATTGTTTTGTACAAACAAAGCACAAAACAGTGTTCCAGTCTGGGACACTTGAGCTGAACCCACTTTAGTCTTCACCAGTCTCCGAGTCCCTGCTGCTGACAGCCATCTCTACAGCAACCAATGCAATTCACTATGGGGAGGATATTCCCTATCTTGTCTTCACCAGATAGTGTTCACTTGGCATTCAGACCAAATTGTTTTTTGTTGCATCATGCTTTCAGAATCTATGAACTTCCCTTTGGCAAACTCCAGATGGGCTGTCACACAGTGGTCATTGGGTTCGTCCTTTCCTGACCTAGACCTCTGTGACATTTCCCGAGATTGGCCACATGGGGAGCTCTTGAAAGAATGGCGATGGTTTAAATCCCATTACATTTCTGGGGTACCCTCAGTTCTCAAACTAATGCACTTGTAATAATTACTTTAACGGAATCTGAGTTTTAAGACCGTTCTGTCTCATAGGTCTATGGAGCTCTTTGAACTTTGTGGCTTGGTGTTCACTCTGTGAACTTTGAGACCTTTTGCTGACAGGTAAAACTGAACATAGGTGGACTCTATAATATAAACATACGTAGGTAGATGAGGTATTTCTTCAAAACTTTACCGCCATTCGTATCTAGCACAAGGACGCAGGACGTGTGTGTGTGTGTGTGTGTGTGTGTGTGTGTGTGTGTGTGTGTGTGTATAAAGGCTGTTGAGTGAGTGTGTGTGTGTCAGAGGCCAGTGGTGGCGTGAGGCCTTTTATCAGCAGGGGGACTGAGGAACACAAAGACAGAGGCTGGATGGTAAGGATGCTGCTCTCCAGAGAGACACCAGTTCAGAGGTCAACATAGGCTCTTTTGGGGAAGTGTGTGTGTGGGTGGAGGGTGTTAGTGTGTGTGTGGTGCCTATGTGTGAGCATGTGTACGTGTCCGCATGCGCTGGGTGGGGTTACACGCGGCACAAAATTGATCCCGGTGGACAGGCATTTTCAGGACAGGTCCCTGTGGACGGAGATAGAAAAAGGGGAGTGTGATGATGATGAGGGTTGGTGGCGGTTGGCGATGAGGTCCAGCAGGGATGGAGCAGCCTGCTAATGAAGAGCCATCTGAGGCCTCCATTCACCTTGAACATGGGCCACTGCAGCTGCCCTGACCTTGGCTTTGATCCACAAAGATGCTTGACCCCCACCATTCCCCCAGAGCAACCCCCTTGCCATCTGGAAGACACACATGCATATGTATACATATGTACGTGCACGCGCCCACAGATACATATGCATGTACACGTAGGCTGACTCATATCCACATGCACATATGCCTTTACAGGTTTTATGTTGTTAGAATCCGTTTGTGTTCTTTTGCATGTACGCTGCATCTTGTGTGTTTGGGCATAATTGACCTGTGCGTTTGTGTACTAGTGTGTTCACTCATACATGATGTGCCAACAATAAGTCACTGGCTTTGTCGCCAAGGAAGAAAGGGCAAGCAGGGGACAGGATGGTCAATAAGGACCGTTATGCACTAAAAACACATTATGTGTTAATGTTGTAGTTAATAGACTGACTTAGTGCTTTAAACCTAATACTCCCTCCCCGCCCTCATAATGCCCTAACCACAACCTCCACGTCTCGAGACATCAGTCCACTTACTGAAGTTGTTTCACATTGGGAGTTTTTTCTTCTTGTTACTGTCCCGATGGTTACCACGCTCCATTGGCATTGGTTTCCCTCTCTTCTCCCTAATGGGAATGCAGCGGCTTGGAACGTAGGGGTTCCTTGGAAATTCCCAAAGTGGCGCAACCGACTTTGCTCCCACACACCGGCTTGTCGTGCTTGCCCAGTTCAGCTGTAAATGACAGTTATGTCACGGCTGACTTGGGTTGAAGTCCATCTGTGGAAATGTAGACCTGTCTGCATTTTCCTTTTCATTTATTTCATCTCTAGCTTTATGAGAGTATTTTAGAGCACAAAATATATAGAGGAGCTTTTGTTCGACATAGTAATATTGTCATTCAGAAAAAAGGCTTTCACAACGTGTAACATTTTCTTAAATTATAATATTTTGTATTTCGTGGTCCATCCTTCCAGGGGATTTCGTTATTTTCCCCCTGAAAAATAGGTCAGTGTCAGCGGGTTGGGTGTCCATGACATGGACACAGTCTTTGCATCACCGTTCTGGAAGTGTCCATTGATTAAGTTACTGCATGGAGGCAACCGCATCTGTGCAAATGCTGGGGAACAAGCTGTGCCCTGGCTTAGTAATTAGAGACGAGCAGAAAGGAGCGGGAGTGCGAGAGAGCGAAGGAAAGATTACCCCTCACTGTGCATCGGGTCTGATTTCTGTGTGTCAATTTTTTTTACCCACAGATAGCATCGTACATTTACTTAAGTGAGCTGATTACGGCTCTCGCTTTCACTCATCTCCAAACTACCTTTTATTAGTCTCCCTCCCTCAGCGCCAGTCTTTCTCCCTGGCAGCCTGTCGTATATTTTCTCTCAGCTCTTGGTAATTCCACACTATCTCCCTTCATTTTATTCTTTGAAGTTTTTTTTGTTTTGTTTTTTCTCACCCACCATAATCTATTTGTCTAACTTGGACAGAGGGCAGCGGAAGGAAGTGGTGGAGGAGAGACGTGTGTCAGAGTCGAGAGAGAGCACCCGCTCCAGCTGGAGTCAATATTTGCTTTAGGAATCTCAATAACAGGCCTCCAGTCATCTGCATCTCTGATAATGGACAGCCATATGGCTCTGTTGACCCATGCTGTGTGGAAGGTTCTCTTTCTCTCTCCTCGTCCTCCCTTGTCTTTCATTTCTCGGCCTCTTTCTACCTTTTTACCGTTTCTTTTCATTAAGTCCTTCGTTCTACTTTATTTTGTCTTCCACTTATCATCTATTTGGGCACATTTTGTTCTTTTACAAACATGCTTTTTCTGTGTCTGTCATCCATAAAAGCCTGGATATGACCCACCACACAAAGCTGTGACCCAAGTTACCATGGCAGCAGGGACTGGCATTCCCACTCTTTGTCCAATACTGTTTCCAGCAAGTGACAGAAAACAGTGATGTTGCATGTCTGGGTATGACTGGAACACCGACATAGAGGGAAGTGTTTGTACATGCTTGAAGTGGTGCTGCTCTGCTTCTCTTAAATGGAGATCCTGGCCCTGTCTTTCCACTCCCCTTTTCCTCCTTAAGGTAGGAAATATGAGCTTTTATTTTGAAGGGATTTCTTGGTGTTCTGTCCAGACAAACGTCCAAATATTGTGAGTTTGTGTTGAATAATGCTTTTCATGTTTTTGCCGTTTAAAAGACATGGACTGTAAAATGACTATATTACACTTATTATTTGGGTCAGAGGGTGTGTGGAACAGAACATCGCAGCCATTTACGAGTATACAAACCCAATCCTTATCTTCCTGTGGTACCCTATACTTTGTCAGTCTGCCCTCTGTCCAGCTCTGTCTGTCCCTGTGAGCAGCTTGGCCATCGTACCCTCTGGTGCCTCCCGGCTCAGGTGCCCGTCACCCCCGCTTTTCCACGGTTCTCTCAAAGCCATTGGTCATGGCTGTTGGCCCCTGCTGTGGCGGCATGTGCCCACAGCAGGCCCCCTGCCCAGTCACTGTCTCGTCCTATCTATCTAACCCAGACCAGAGCCTCTCGGCCCAGTCCAGCCTATCTCGGCTCAGCCTGGTTCAGCCTTGGCTTCAGCGACAGCCCACTGCTATTCCACCCTGGCAGTTGTAATGAGATGAGGGGGAGGGGGCCTCTGTGTTGAGTGACTAGAGTTGTTTGCGTGTGTGTGTGTGTGTGTGTGTGTGTGTGTGTGTGTGCACGAGTGTGCGAGAGAGAGAGAGAGAGAGAGAGAGAGAGAGAGAGAGAGAGAGAGAGAGAATGCATGTTTGTCAAGCAATTTGTTAGGTGTCGTCTATCAAAGAAACATGGTCACAACAGACAGCCGTGAGAATAATCAGACTCATTGTCAAACATGCACACACACTATTAAATGTGAAACGTGCCATCAGACAGCCCTTTGTCACTCCAATGCCTCCTGCACCATATTTCATCCAGCACTTGCCTCCATTACACAACAGACTTACCGCGATACATCTATGATAATGATATGATAATGGCCATCGGAACGTTTTCCACCCTCATCCGGCAGCCATTTTGCAAGCCCACTTATTTATTTATTTATTAATTTGAGCTTTTCCACATTTCAAATCCGGCCATCCATCAGTCCTGCATGCTGGCTGCCCAGGCTCCAGTCACTGCTTGTCACTCTGAATTTCAAATGGCTCCAATTTTCCCCCTGATGGCACGGAGAAGTGGCAGGCAGCACATCGGGGAGGGTGGTCCTAGACATGCTGCCTGCAGCAGGGTTCTATTAGAGGGACGAGAGGGGGTGGGAGAGGAGAGGTTTGGAGCATCATGCCAGTAGTGATGTATTCTTTCTTTCTTTTTGTATGATTATTTTGGAGACTGCTTTCTTATTTGGGGCTGTGTGGCATGGCTGATTGGTCCATCTCTGCTTCTGGCTATGGTGCTGATGTTGGAGCTGCCCTGCGTCTCGCTCTCCCACTACATGTATATGCAGCACAGCACAGAAAAAAAAATGAGTGATTTGCAACTGTGACTATGAACTGACATGTTTTGATGACATTCTGAAATGAGATTATTTTGTGAGTTTTAGGTTTAAATGACAAACGAGGCAAATAATTACTCCACCTTGCTGCCTTCATCTTCTCCAACAGGCCATTGTGTTTTGTTCCTTAACGAGCGCTAACCAGCTATGAGGAGCGGGCGCTCTACCTGGAGGCCATTGTTCAGAACCACAGAGAGGTCATGACTTTTGAAGACTTTGCCTCACAGGTCTTCTCTCCGTCTCCTGGCTATCCAATGAGTGGGACAGGTGAGAACTGAACCACACTGCACCTACGTCCTCCTTCATGTTCTTTCCACTCCATGTCCTTTTGCTTTTCTCATTCCGTCTCTCCATCCCAATGTTGCTTCATCCCCCTTTCTTCATTTTCCCCTCCTCCGGGCCTCCTTGCCTCTTCTCCTGTGTTTGTCTCTCCTCCTCCTCCACAACGCACCTGTTTGCCCCTGTCCCCTCCTCCACCCCCCTCATTCTCTCCACTCTCCTTCCACGCCTACGCCCGCTGATGAATATCAAACGACGGGATCGGCTCTTCACGCCGTCCGACTGACTTCAAACACTCCGCTTTCTCCGCTTCCTCAAGCCCCACTCACCCTACTTTGTTCATCTCTTCTTGTTTCAAAACTGCATCTTTCCGTGCAATTACTTTCCTATGAATATAAGCAGCCTTGTTAAATAGCAGCCGTAGAGTGCACGTTTGTGTGTGTGTTTGTGTGTGCGCGCGTCTTCATGAGCTCATTCACCAACACTTAGGGGATCCGACCGTCAAACAGCAGCTCGCGGATGTCAGCACAGCACCCTTATCAGTCCATGATGAATACAATGGAAAACGTGTCTTATCGTGTTCTTCCTTCTTGTACCAGCTCTGATCGATCTGCAACAGCACTGAAATCAATACGGGATTGCACTTTTCCACTCTATTGGATCACGACACACATTGTGTTTTGACAAGGAAAGTGCTGCACAATACCACACCATAGATGTCTTGTCATTTTCAAATCTGTCATTGCTGATATGCTTTAAGGGTGGGTGAATATATATGTACTATGTCCTTCCTGTATGCTGGCATGTGAGAATTATATGTCTGAATGTGCTAGTGTGTGAAGGACTTCAGATTCTCAGACGGCAGGTGTGATATTCAGGCTGTTGCGGGCAGGCAAGAGGTAGTCGGCCACATTACCATACTGTTTGCCCAAATAAATCTCCTCAGACCGACCTCTTGTCGCCGCCTCTCATACCCAGCACCAAGCCAGCTGAAAGGGAAGGACTGAGAGGAAGAAAATACAGATGCAGAGGAATATAGTGGAGAGGGAGAGCAAGAAGCACTAGCTGCCGTAGACTATTTCAGCTATGGGTTCCTTTGTGGCTGGGAAGAGATGGGTTAGAGAGGTTAGCCAGGCTTGAGAATAATATTTCACAGCATGGGACATATACACTGTGTCTAATGTGAGAGGCCATAACATAATGAAGTCTGTACGGCAGTTGAGTCACCCTCGCTGCTGCGGAAACTTGTTCTGAACAGCAATTTGTATTTCTCCGGAATCTACGTGTGTAAATGAATTACAAGATGTGTGTGTGTGTGTGTGTGTGTGTGTGCGTGTGTGCCTGTGCGTGCGTGTGTGTGTCCATTCATATTGTATCCAGGACTCACTTGCACTCACTTGAATCTGTGATTTACTGTGAAATATGTGTAAATTTAAAGAAACAATATTTTACAGAAAAATCAAAAATTTAAGCCTAATGTATTAATGAGAAAACACACACACCAGGTGCGACTACTGGGGGATATAAGATAACCAGCAAAATTCCCATTTGCCTAATCTAGAACCAGTGAATGTGATTTTTGCTTTAAAAAATTAAATTCATTCATTTGTCAAAAATTGTTGCAGATCAACTTTCCATCAATCAATTAGTTGTTTAATTGACTTTAACAGTTGCTCCTAGCCTCCACAGTTGTGTGTGTTTTCATGTATTCTTCTCAACCGTATCATTAAACTAAAGGCTGCTCTTTAGCGTCTCAAAACCAAAGGCATGTATTTAATGCTTTAGGCCACATGAATAATGCATCCAAGTATCCTTTATCGCTGTAGTTAATCATCCTGATCTTTTGTGTCCCATCAAGCATATAGCTTCAATGTGTCATTGATGGCTGGCCGACGCTGCTCCTCATTCTCACCCTTCTGAAATGTGCTTTACTGCCCTCCTGTGTGTGTGTGTGTGTGTGTGTGTGTGTGTGTGTGTGTGTCTGTGTGTGTGTGTGTGTGTGTGTGTGTGTGTGTGCGCGCGGGTTTGCCCATCCGTCTGTCTGTCTGTACGTCCTGCTCTGGCTCCCATTGCTGCCACTAACATGTCATCCATGCTCCACGACAGCGTGCAGGCGTTGGCCGGGGATGGTTTGGGACATGGAGTACCCCTGGGCCAAACTGGACTGTAAGACTCTGCCTGCTTCCTCCACACTAGGCATGACGCCCAGCCACAGCCCACCAGCATCCATCCATTCATTTAGGTCACTTTGAACCCCGCCATCATCAAATAACCGGGGGGTGCTGCGCTTGATTTAGCCCTTTTGTAAAAGAAAAGTAGGGCTCAAGTTCCAAGTCCAGATTCTGCATGCTAATTGCTAAATGACGCGCTCCCTCAGTGTTTCACCGCTTCCCCGTGAAAGGCATTTAACCCTCCGCCCTCTCCGGTCATCTCTGTACATTTTTGGGCTTTTCAGCATCCTCCACAGCGTCGTCCACCATGATCCTGAATGCAACCTCACTTTGACCCTGTAACTTCACACCGGCGTCACGGCTTCCTGCATGAGCCGGTCCATCTGTCATACAGACAGTGCTCTGCCCTCGTTGTGATACACCTGCATTGCTTTGCTCACTTTTTATTGTCTTGTTTTTATGTCGTGTGTTTTCATCCTCTAAACTTTTTCTAAATGAATAGAAAGCAATACTTGTTTTTTCCCCCCCTCATGGACAAAACAAGTTAAAATGTCCCACGACCCTCTGAGGAGCCTGGCATCTTTAACTCTCTCATCCTAACCTCACCCGAACCTCTAAAAGTAACACTGGTGATGTGTTTTGTCTGTTGTTGCCATGAGAACTGCCCACCATTCATGCAAAATTACCCTTATTTTGAAATGTGTGAATTGGACAGATTAATCAGACAAAAAAAAAAGGTGTCTTAAAGGTGTCTTCAGGAAAAGAAAAAAAAAATTTGCACTTCATGATTAAGTCATCACCCAAATCAGTGAACCTTGTCTGACTTTTAAACCCTCCAGTGACGACTAACCTCGACGGCACACAAGCTGTCTGAAGGTCCCGCTCGTCCGGCCATTCAGACAGCGTTGTGTTGTGTTGTGTTCCGCTGCAGTGTGGTATAGTGTGTGTCCGCTGCTCTCACTCACATGATGCTCTACTCTTGTTTTTTCCCTTTGTAGATTAAAAATATCTTAAAGGTCCAAATACTGTATATGGCGAAGGTAAGCCCCGAGTCAGCCCGGAAGCTTGTTTCCGTCCAGCGGCCTACCCCGTCGCTCCATCACTCATCCTGGCTGTTCTTCCTCCCCCACCCCTCCTTCTTTTCATTCAGCACTAACCAAGCTTTACTTACTGAGTGCTCTGACAAAGCGAAGGGGACAGAGAAATCAGGCTGTTTATTCGGGGGGTGTCCTACTGTTTAGGCCAGGCTGGTAATTGAAAGTGATGCACGGTGGGGACAATTAGCACCTGACTAAGTAGCAGCATGAACAATACGGCTACACTTCTGGCCCTCGCTTCTGCATGTGGCGCGCCTTTATCTCTTCCCCCAGCAAACACTTTTCTCTTTTCTTTCTTTCTTTCTTTTTTTCTTCTTCCCCCTCCACCCCCCTCATTTCCTCCTGTTGGAGTGTGCCTGTTTGCCCGGGGCAGACTCTGAGACTAACACCTGCCGCACTGGAAGATGTCTTTGTCATCTAAAGCCTTGTTTGAACTGCTGCGGAGGGGACCAATGGGATAGCGGGGCCATTTAAAGACCCTCTTTGTTTTCCCTCTCGCTCGGTCTCTCCCCTCTTCTCTCCATTTGAAATGAACCTCACCGTATGGCAGACTGGGCTGAGTAAAGAGCGGAAATGCTGGGTTCTTACGACGATAATAATGATACATTAGCTCCTCTGGATCTGGGCTGTTTTTCCACTCAGTAACTTACTATGAAAATGAATTCTTACCTAAGGCCATACAGTGAGGAACGACGTTTAGAAGCTGATGTAACCACAGTCATTAAGTGCCTCGGTGGGAGTGATGACTGTTTAGTGCATGTTTTAATGGCTGCTAAACGAAAAGGGAAGTCTGTTGAGTGGGTGGATAACTGTACCACACCACTGTCTGTGTATATTAGCTGTAATAGGTGGTTTCCTTCATCCTGTCTATCATATGTCTTTACAGCACATCCAGACAAAGTTTAGTTTATAAAACAAAGTATTTACTGTAGGAATGAGTTGAGGAATACGGGAATGCAGGATTTGTTCTGTCCATCGGGCCAGCCCACATTTTTAGCCAAGCCCCCAACCCTTTTTTAGATTAATATGCAGATTTGAGAATTCATGTTGGGACACCCCCCCCTCACCTCCCTCCCGGCCCTTCACAATACCCACACCCAATGTTTCATCCATAGCCCAGCCCTCCTCTTCCAACGAGCAGCCCTGGATGCTGCCGGTGTCCACTGTGCTGCTGAGTGTCTGTTACTCCAGCCATCTGCCATTCCTTTTAGCCGCTGCAACTTGAGATGCCTCCGAAAAAATGGCAGGAAATAAAAGGATAGGAAAGAAAATAGGCAACCAGATGCCATCTCAACAAAGCAGAAAAGTTGTTTAAACTCGGAGCACGGGGGCCGAGGCGGGTGTGGGGGGGGCCCCTCAGTCTGGTTTGGTCAGGGGCACACTGAGGAAGCCAGGGCAGCGTTCACAATACTTGAATACACCAGCGTTCCATGCCCACCTCCCGGCTTATTCCAGCTCATCATCCCCTAATCATGGATGTGAAGTTTTTGAAAAAGGACAATACCTGACAATGGGCAGGCTCCACATGTTCACAACAAGAGCATAATGTGCAATTTTATTTTCATTCAAAGCATTCTGCTGTCACACTGCGAACTGAATAATTTTTTTTTTTTTTTTTTTGTGCGCATAGTTCCAAAGGTTACCGCTCATTTTGTTTAATACCATATAAGCATCTGGCAAAACTGTATTGGGAAGAAAGGCAGCTTCTCTTTAACAAGCTTTGCTTTTTCACAGCATGTGGAAGAGGCATGTCATTTCTGAAATATTTTTGATTTGCCTCCTCACGTCTATATTCTAATGACATAAGGGGCAGAACAAACATTGGAAGTGTGGTGAATGTTGGTGGAAATCCTATGAACTGGGTAATCTTGGTTGTGGGAGCAGCCACGTGCATGACAAAGCATGCTGGGATGAACAGCAATCACACAAAGCCCAATGAACCCCACCACCACGTCTAACCAGCGCTCTCTCTCTCTCTCTCTCTCTCTCCCTCTCTCCATCTCTCTCTCTCTCTCCCTCTCTCCATCTCTCCATCTCCATCATTGTCCTTTCAATCTACCAACTCCCTGCATCTCTCTCCCAGGCTCCTTCATCGGCAGCGCGAGCACAGAAGCCGGAAACAGCACCGCAACGACGGACTCTGTCGACCAGGTTTCTCCCACAATGCCCCGTGCCACAAAGAACCGAGTTTCCGGAAAACTCCGCCGGTCAGCCAGCGCTATAAGCAAATCCTCCAACTGAGCTCTTCAACCCACCCACCCCACCACCCCCAAGTGCAGCCTTTAATCTTTTCTCGAAGAACCTCAAACACCCAGCCGTGACTGCAAGAGTTGTTTCTTTTTTGGCGAGTTCTTTGTTTTATTTAGTGTCGTATAAAGATGTAACAGGAGCATATTGCAATTTTTAATTTAAGTGGCAATCATTGATACATCATTGATTGAATTGATTGATTGAATCATTGATTCGTTGATACATTTCCATTTGTTGTGGTGTTTAACTGCTCAATCGAGATGGACATGTGACTAAACTATTTATGTTGGCCGTGGTGGTCTCAGCTTAAAGAATCAGCAGCATAGGAAGACATAGGAGTCTTAAAGCAGCCTGTAATAGCGATGTCATTTTTATTCTCATGTTCGAGTGCATTCTCGATGCACTAGGGAAAGAAGTTCTTACTATAGTAAGGGAGCGGGAGCCTGCTTCACTTTGTTTCCATATCTCATCGGTCTCAACACTTAATGCGATAAAGCACTGAATGATACAGCTGTAAATGGCACTATGCTGAATCTGCACACGAGATTGGTATCCATTTGTAAATGAGTCTGCCTTTATACCTCTTCCTGCACCTGCCACAACCTCTCTGTGTCTAAGACGATGTCGTCGTCCTGCTCATTGGCACCAGTTTGGACTGTGTTGGTGGACCGTCTCCCTACACTGGAAAGGAGCAAACACTGATGCATGGGGAATATCTCCCCCAGAATGATCTGTACTCGCTGCACTACTACACAGACTTCCTGGGCACGGAGTCCCTATAGTACGAGCAGTCAGAGGCTTTCTTTTTTTATTGTTTTGAACCCGGACTGGACAATCAATGACGTCTTTCTAACTGGAGCTGAAAAGAAATTTGTTTTTGTTGTTCTTTTTATCACTCTAATTGTCCTTTTTTAAATGAATTCCGATGGATTGTGTCATGATTTGATTTATGCAACTCTGCTGAAATGAGAAAAGACTGCGTTTGTAATTGTTTTCTGATGTCGTTAACATAGGCTCATGTCCGGTAATTGAATAAGTTCCTCCTGTCTCTTTCCTCTGCGATCAGTTTCCCTGTCCTGTGAAGCTGAAGACATCGACATTCCAACGTTCCCCACCAACGTGTTTGCACTCACCGTCATTGATTTAACTATAGCATTGAATGTTTCTCTTTGTTCTTGGATTTAAATTGCATTGGTCTGTTGCTGGATGTATATAGAAGACTATCTGATGAATTATTTTTGCTGTTCTGTTGTATTATGTATTCTTGTGCTGTTTAGAGGAAAAATACCGCCAGAGCCTCAGGTGAATCTTACATCCATGCACTGGTGTCTGTGAGAGAGAGAGAGAGAGAGAGAGAGAGAGAGCTCTAGTTAGTTTCGGGAAGAGCTTCTCACAGTGCCTGTGTAATGTCTGTCCTGCAAGATGCTGTCCAACACCACCTTTCCTCCCCATAATCACATTTTAGTTCCTCCTCTTCGTAGTCTGAGACAAACCATGGACACCCTGCGTCACATCTCCCCGTTAGCAGCGTTAACTCAAAGTTGTTTTGTTCTGTCCCCTGTGTGTCTAAAGGTCAGTGTCTTGTGCTTCCCACAACAAAAACAACAGCAGATGGATTTTGAATTGCGGGGTTCTCTGTTTAGTCTTTATTACAGGTGGTGCGCTGCTCCATCTTTATCTGTGAATGGATCAAGTGGCACCAGCTCCTCCTCCTCCGCTTTTCCCATGATCCTCTCCCCATGTCGCCTCCTGAGGCCAGAGGAGGGGCGGATGTTCTGGGTTTAGGTGGCATGCCAGAGCTGAACTCTAGCAGCCCTCCTAGCAACGGCCAGGCCGACGCTCTCGCTTCTCCAGCCTGCCCGCTCGGGGTTGTCATGGTAGCCAGGTGTCCCCCCCCACACACACACTGTACTCTCACACCCTCTGAGGGCTCCACCCAAGCTGCAACACTATCCCCATCTGTTGCGCTGCTATGCCTTACTTTCCCCCCCATGCTCTCCTGTCATCTTTCTCTCTTCCTTCACATGTCGCCTCCTTTTGTTTGTTTATTCCCCGAGCAGAAGACGGGGAATCCAAACAGCAGGAGGACGGAGGGACACATTTTTATTTTGTGCTTTTGTTTTTTGAAGAATGTATGATATATATTTTCCCGGATCACATCTGTTTTTTTATTTCCCCCTAAAGCCACTTGAAGGAACCGCCCAGGATGCTGATCTTAAAGATTGTAGGTTATAAATGATGTGTGTTAAAAGGGGTCTGTGCTCCCCCTTTGGTGGCTTAGTCGCTGGAGATGTTAGTTTGGACCAAGATAAGGATTGTGTGTCTTAAATACGTGAAGATAATGAGCTCGTGTTAGGCCCTAGTATGTTCTTTTCTTTTCTTCTCGTTTCAGAAATACTTGTACATTGTGTCAAATTTGAGGGCTTGAGCGCCTTCTGAATATAAATATATTAATGCCTGTAATATAATCTTTGTATAAGAGAAAGAGGAAAAAAATCTTGAAGATTTCATCATTACTTGTCAACATATCAAACTGTTTTTAACGACCGAAGTCCTGCTATCTTTATTAGAAATGTGAAAATTTAAACATTTCATTAAATCAATTTGAAATTCTAAGTATCTTTGTCCTTTTTCCTTCTCAAAAACACATCAGCTAATTGTGTAACCTCAGATTTTGGTGTGCGTGCGTGCGCGCGCTCTCTGACATAATTGTGCTGTTACCATGGGCTTTCTGACCCTGGCCCAGCCACGCTAGCAGCAGCAGGGGTAACCTGACCCTCTTCCCATCTGTCTCCCCTGCTGCTCAGCCCTGCTTAGGGCAGGCCGGCATAATGGAACCTCACCGGGAGGTACAGGTGCAATGGTTGCAGCACCTACGGGTGCCCTGCCTCGCCAGGGTCACATAAAGACGCAAGACAAGCACTTGACTGTAATTGGAGCTCTAAAACTGTGACAGAGAGGGTGAGAAAGAAGCCTGTAATGTTGCCTCATTTTCACCCGGCTCAGCGCTGTTAGACCCCAGTCATTGACGATGAGGTGGTTTATAACACAACAGGCAGGGTCTGGGTGTCCCAGCCCCTCTGAGGCTGGCATTCTCTGTTAATACTACCCGATTGTATTATTCCATGTGTTTAATATTTCACACTGCTTCCCTGTAGTCACACTTCAAATATATCTCTGTCTTGATGTATTGTCACTGATGCCTTAAGGGGGAGTAACACTCATTTTTAAAAAAGTTTGTGTCTTTTTTTTTTAAGGCCTCGGACAGGTGTATGGTATTAATGAGCAGGAACAACTGTGGTGGCCAAAGAGAGAGAAACAGGAGATAAAGTCAGACTGTGGAAGGGGGATTTTTTTTGATAATGCTCTGAGGTGAACATGCTGCCGACAGCATTTGTCTGTAGGTCCGAAGTGACACAGTTGGAGGCTGCCTGCTAAATTACAACTAACTTAATGCTTTACAGGTTCTGGAGGTCAGATATGAAGCCAACCGAGCCCTCATGTGTCCTAAATCAGCACAAATCGAGCTGCATGAGTCTGCTGAAGCAGACAAATGTTTTACTGCTCCAGAGGTGAGTGTGATCCACCACCTCTTTGTCCTCCCGTCATGTCCTGACATGGTATTAAGGAGGGAATTTATGATTAGCCCCTAAGTGCTTCTCTGTGGCAGCAGCGAAACGGCGTCTATTGAGCCAGTGCAGCTATGATTGACTGCGCATCAGCCTGATGAACGGGGAATCGAAGGCAAGGGTTTGTCCAAGGGCGCTCCTGAGGTTTCTTTTTCCTGTTTAGGACGACTAAATAGATTCGCACTATTTTGGAGTGTGGCCCCTGTGTTGGAGAGACGGCGCTGAAGAGAAAGGAGAAGTTTAATGCTGACATTGTTTTAAGGGTGTTAAATTATACCCGGGGAGCCCACCTTAGGGAGTCAACTTTGAACCACCTCATCGGGCATAAAAGCAGCATTGAAACTGCCCTTCACCTCCTTTGAACAATTGTGTTTGGAAAAGACAGAAACTGTATACATTTTTTATGAATTAATGTCCTAAATCCATTACAATATTTTAAAAAATATACTCATAAATGAAGTGTCAAGATTTGTTTTAGTTTAAAGGTAATTTTGAAAGATCTTTTACGCAAAGTTGTATGCAGGGTAATTGTCTTAGTTTGGCTCCTGAGAATGGGACCACAACAATCCGAGGCCTTATTACAACATCTCAAAGTAGTCCGTGTCATATTTAATCTTTTCTACATGTATTCGGTTTTCATGTATTATTTTGCCTTTTTGGAAATAATTCGCCTTGACTTCCCTAAAGAGAAACAATTCCAGAAACAAAAGCATTGACAACTAACACGAGGATCAACAAGCGTATTATTCAAACACTTATTAAATCCTTCACGTCTTCAACACAAAACTCCCTTTGGAAATATGGTGATTATTGTTAAGAAATGAAGTTCATCACCGTCGTGTACTTTTTTCACTCTGAAAAAGTTATTAAGCCACCTTGAGACACGTGTCCTTTTGAAAATATTTTATTTCGATAGACAACAACGATGTACACATACAATCAAAGCGCTATAAAAGCCAACATTTAAGAAAAATAACTTGTCCTTAAAAAAGATTGCATCTAAGGTAAGAGCTTTACGTTTTTTTTTTTCCTTTTTACAAGAGCTGTGGAGATTGAAGATTAAAAACCCGACTCACGACAATTATCACAACTCGTGAATTTGACCCAAAAGCAAAAACAAAACAAAAAATTAACATTTTGGCTATACCACATGTAAACTGCCAGAACGATTCA